TTTAAAAATTGTTAAGCCTTTGTTTAGATTAGCTTTATTTTTTCAAAGTTGTTGAGTCTTTGCTTAGAAAAACTTTATTTATTTTTCAAAGTCTTTGAGCTCTATTTAGATAAGTTTTATTTATTTTTCAAAAGTTATTGAGCCTCTACTTAGAGAGGCTTTATTTATTTTTCAAAATCATTAAGCCTCTGTTTAGAGGAGCTTTATTTTCAAAAGTTATTGAGCTTTTGCTTAGAGGAGCTTTATTTATTTTTTAAAATTATTAAGCTTCTACTTAGAAGAGCTTTATTTATTTTTCAAAAGTTGTTAAGCCTTTATTTAGAGGAGCCTCGTTTATTTTTCAAAAGTTGTGGAGTCTCTGTTTAAAGGAGTTTTTATGTTATTCAAGGAGTTTGAGTAAAAATTTTTTAAAAAAAGCAAAAAAAATGTGTCGAGTTAATTGGGTTGTCTACTTCTTTGCACAATTCTTGTTTCATAAAAAATGTGCAAAGAGGGGTAGGTATAAACACCTCAATTTATCTGAGGTTCTACTTAGGTTAATTTTGTTAATAAAAAAAATAAAAAATGAAAAAATAGGTAGTTGAATTTGTGTGAAATTGTTGGAACTGGTTTGAGTTGGGTTTAAGGTTAAAATTTAAAGAAAATTGGCATTTTTTTTCGGATTGGGGTTCTCAAATTCAAAACTTTATAAATACATGCCCACATAAATCACATATAAAATATAACAAATTAGAGATGAAGCTTAGTAATAAAAAAATAGAAGAGCAGAAGCTTCGATTTTTGGTTCAATAGCCATTTAGTTCCATTCAACCTAGATATAAATCCCCACCAAAACCCACATTCATCCACTCCCTAAATACCCAAAAAACAACATACAAATATACTATCCTTCTTGAGATAATCATTGTCCAAAGACACAAAGAGGAGGCCAAAGAACCATTCTAGTAGTTGAAGCTTTCGGGAATCTTTTCAAAGTTGAAAACCACAGAGAAAATTGGCAGGACTTGTTTAAGAGGCTTCAGAGCTTATTGTTTGGCATTGGTGTCGGTGTCAGTCAGAACTTAGAGGAACTAAACGTTGGAATAATTTGGTGATTTATGCGTTAAAGATTAGAGCTAATAGTAGAGCTTCACAGACTATTGAAAGGTGCATTATTTGGTTGTCTACAAGTTGGTTACCTTGCTGTGAATAAGCCTCGTTAATCATGGAAAAAGGCTGACTATATCCATCATTAAATGGTGCAAAGCCATTCTTTTTATGGGAAATAGCTTTATGGAAAAGCCCACTTGATGCATGTTGATATTGTTGCTACAATGGATCCACGTGTTTTATCGCCTGGAGGTTCGACCCGCAGTGTTGACTTGCTTTTTACCTATGTCCAGTTGAACCCTTCAACCGAGCCGAGTCACATTTAGTTGCCAAGCAGCATATCTGAAACTGTTTTCTATGCCTGGAGTCGAGCTGCGTCATAGTCATTGAGCCAAGCCATTCCTGTTTTTGGTTTTTTTTTAAATTTATTTGTCTATTTATTTTAAAGTATTTTTTGATTAAATTTTTTAAAAAATATAAAACAAAATAAATTTTTTTTAGAATAAATAATAATTATCCAATGATGAAAATTTTAAAATTTTTATATGGTAAATTTTTTATAAAATTCCTATGTAAGAAATTTTGTCTAAATTTGTCCCAAATTGTGAAATAATTTAAATAAAATTTCAATAACAATAATTAATATTTATTTTCAATCAAAAAAATAAAAAATTTTAGTTAAAAATATTTGACAATTATCCAATGATGAGATTCTTAGAAATTTTAAATTATAAATTTCTAAGAAATTTTTAGGTGAGAAATTTTTTTAAATTTGTCCTAAATTGTGGAAGAATTTCAATGAAATTTCAATAAAAAATAATTATCATATTATTTAATTTCCAAAGGTAAAAAAAGAAAATATTTTTAATTTGACCCAAATGGTGGAATAATTAAATGTATTTTCAATAAAAATAAAAATAATTAAACTTTTTTTCCAATGATGAAGTCTTTTCAAGAAAATAAATGAGATTCTTGAATATTGTTGAGGTGAGTGAATATTTTTAAGAGTTCTATCAAATTGATGGAGAATTTTAATAATTATTTTCAAAATTTAACATAAAAATGAAAACCATTATAGTCAAGATTTTATGATAAATTTAAAATAAAATGGTAACATCATTTGGATGGACATATGGGGTCGCTATATCATTTTTCATATGTAATCGAACTCTCGAACCCTATTCTGATTAGTAGACCCGAACCTATTCTTTTAGGGATCCTTGGTTAAGCTTAGGAGCTCCTTAAAATGATAGATTCATTAGGTGGCTAATCATAACTAGTTAAAAAATATTGATGGTGATTCCATTTGTTAAGTCTAACTATAGATTTTTAAATCTATATGTTATGACACTTATTATTAAAAAATAAACTTTTTGAAAATAACAAAAAAAATTATGTCTTTTTTTTGGATATTTTTGTTTACAATAATATTTGTATACTTGGAAGATTAAATCAATAAAAATAAATTATACCTTTTTAAAATATATATATTATTGAATGATAAATTAAATAATAAATGATGTATTAACATACTTTCACTTTAGTAATCTTGACTAAATTATTATTCAAAAAATGAAAAACGTTAGAAAATATGTGAAAAAAGAAAAAATAAATTGAAAAAAAATATTATTTTTCATGAAACTATAACAACAATAAAATAGTCTTGAAAAAAAGTTATAAACAAAAAAAAAAATTGCAATAGTAATAGAATATACCTTAGAAAAAAGTTACTGAAAAAATAAAAAAATTGATGTATAGCATATTACATTTGTAGTCTTAAATTTATAAAAAAATTCTTAAATGGCAATTAGGATTAAATTGATAATTTTTAAATTAATTTTTTAAAATTTAAAATGGATATAATAAGTGATAAAGATAATATTAATTTTTTTACATTTATTTGAAATAAAAATTTGATAATTAAAGCTCAAATAGATATAATCATTTTGATGATCTTATTATTTAAAGATTTAAAATGAAAATTTTTTGAATTTTCAAAATCATACATAAAATTGCTTGAATTTTTTATGTCTTACCTAAATTTTTAAAAAGGATAATTTTTTAAATCAAGATAAAAAATATTGTTGAAAGTTTGAATAAACTTTATAATTTTTAAACATGTTTGAAAGATTGTGATAATTAAATAATTTTTTAAATAAGGTTATTTGGTAAACAATTATAATTATTTATTAAAAAAATAAAATCCATATTTTATATTTTTAATTTTAGAAAATATATCTCGAAATTGATTTGATTTTAAATTATAATTTAAATAATTTTGATATTTGAATAAATTTAAAATTATCAAATTTGTAATTAAAAGAAACTATCTTATTTTTTTAAAAATATCTTATGTGTTTTTTAAGAGAATTGTTCATATAAGTGCTTATGTGACAAATTTATTTTTATATATATATATATATATATATTAGATATTAACACTCTACAAATACATTTCTTTAAGTGGATATTAAGTAGTGTCCTATGCTTTGCTGAGGTTCAACAATAATAATTAAAAATACTTAAAAACATTAAAACATATTTGTATATATCTGTTTTATTAACTTGTAAAATATTAAATTTTCTAAAAACAAAAGTGAAATCTATTGTTAACAACAAAAATAAAAATGAATTAAAATGAATAGAGAATTTAACAGTACAAATCAACAAATTCATTATCAAATATTTTCAATACCTTTCGAAATTTATAAGTTAGGTCTTTTAACTAATAGATTTTGCAAAAAGGCATTGTAAATTATAACTATATTCATCAATAAATCATAAAGAGTTTAAATAAAATGATAAAAAAAAATACCTACAATTTAGCGAATTATTTTTAGAGAAACAAAATCTAAATGAAAATTGAAGAATAAAAAATGAATAATTTTATTTAAAGGTTTGTTTATGAAGGCTTTTAGAAAATTAACAACATTAAATAGATTTACAAAAAAAATGGATAGATGAGGAAAATGAAGAGATTTCGTTATTTTTTTATTTAATGAATTAAAATTTTCATTTCCTATTCATGAATAGAATATTTGTGATGATAGGTTGAAGAAATCGACAATTGCTGAAATTAAATATTTATTGATTTAAACATATTCTTGGATAATTGTAGAGTTTTAATTTGTGAGTTGAAAGATCAAACTAATTTATCGAGTTATACAATTAAAAAATAAATAAAAAATAAGAGAATAACTTTTTATGAAGTTGACATGTGGCATTTTTGGAAAAAAATGTAGGTTCAAATAGAATTATGTTAGATGTGCACATTTGAAATTTGTGTTCACTTATTAATTTTTTTATTATATAATTAGAATTTGATAGTATCAATGTTTTGAAAAAATAAAAAAAAGGGATTTTAAGAAAAAAAATTAGGAGATTAAAGTTATGGTAGTTTTTTTTAAGGGGTAAATAGTTTATTTTTTTAAATATATATTTTAAATTAATATAAGATATAAATCCTTAATTTTATATTTATTAGTGTTATTATAATTATGTTTTATATAAATTTATCAATTGATTGTTGTGTCACATGATTTGTAATATCAAATTCAATTTAAATGTAAATAATCACGTGACAACATTTATTAACTTATCTATAAAATATAAAATTTATAGTACTCTTTTCATTTTAAAATATTTGTCACATATTGATTTTTATGAAGTTAAAAAAATTTAAATTTTAATGTATTTAATATTAAAATTTAAAAATTTTTTTTATAAAATTAAAGTTTCATGATTTTTAATGTTAAAAATAAAAAATTATAAAAAATAACTTTAAAATATAAATAAGTAAGAATTTTAAATATTTAAAAAAGTATTAGAATATAATTTTAAATTATTTAAAAAATTTTAAAAAGAGACAGTATTAAATAAATTTTCATTATTTGGGAAGCGAAGGTCCAATAAAAAATAGCACGTGGCATAATGCCTTACTCAGCTTTCTATAATCGCACTTCTATGAGAAACACGATTGGACTGGGCTCCCAAACTTTAAAAAAGCCGACAAGCCGACGAGGCATCGATGTAATTTCATCGAAGCATAGCACATTCGTCTCTCCCTTGACTCTTCAATTCTCGTTTGGTGGGCAACCCTTCTCTCTCTTTTGAAACAATAAAATCCAGAATAAACCAACCCCGCGTCCCCCAACTTAATTTTTCTAGAACTTTTTGCCCAATTCAGATTTGTTTCTTCTTTATTTTCTTACATTTGTTTTTAAGTGAATTTATTAAATTTGATCTGATAAAGATCTTGTGAAAATAAATAAAATCGGGAAGAATGTTTAACGGAATGATGGATCCTGAGTTGTTTAGAATCGCTCAGGAACAGATGAGTCGTATGTCACCTGCTGAGCTAGCCAGGATCCAACAACAGGTTCAATTTTCTATCTCTTCTTTTTTTTTTTTGTAAATATTTTTTTGTTGATTTTGTTTTGGTAAGAATTACCAAACCCATATAGGATTTAATAAATTTGATGTCTTTTTCAATCTGGTTATATTAGATTTTTTGCAATTTATGTTGGGTTTCAATTTTGATTTTATTTTTAATTGCATAAATATTCAATGTGGGATTGCTTTCTTATTGGGTATATATAGTTGAATTGAATAAGACGACCCGTGTGAAATTGTCTTTTAATGTAAAATTATATTAGCAGCTTTATATGATGTTCTATTCTCGAGCTCAATTTTTCAAGTTAGTGACACGGTTTAATGGAATTAATTAAGTCTTTTTTTTTTCTGGTGCAAATTTAATTAGTTTGCTAACATATCTGTATTTCTTGAATTTCTTAAATAATTGGGACTTATATTTTTTTTTTTTAGGTTTAGTAATGGGTAAGGGTTTTAGCTGAACCTGGTTATGAAGTAATGATATTACTTGTACAACCAATAGACCTGAATATTTCACACATTGACAGAACTGAAATTGAAAAAGTAATCAGTTTGTACTTAAATATGTGCATTTTTTTTTGTATAATTAACATTGATGGTTGCTGTTAATGTGGATTCAATGACATTGCAGATGATGTCTAATCCTGATTTGATGAGAATGGCCTCAGAGAGCATGAAGAACATGAGGCCGGAAGACTTGAGACATGCTGCAGAACAGTTAAAGCACACACGTCCCGAGGAGATGGCAGATATTGGTGAGAAAATGGCTAATGCATCACCTGAAGAGATAGCTGCATTGCGTGCCCGTGCTGATGCTCAGATCACTTATGAATTAAGTGCTGCTCAGATGTTGAAGGATCAAGTGAGTTTTTGCCACCCAAAATCACATCATTTATGTTGATATTTTCAATATATCGGATAGATGAAAATATACGTCCAACTGTAAAATATATTTTTTAGTCCATAATCTTAAACAACAAGAGCACCATAGGAGCCTTGGAGCTGATAAAAGACCTGAAATTCTCTTTCTTTTAAAAGTTTTAAAGAATTGAACACATTGTAAAAGCTGTATTGAGATACTATCTTACTAACGGGTTGTCTTAAACCATTGAGTTGCATAACTAACACATGTTAGTCAAATATATGACTATGAGTTGTACGTAAAAAATGCTAGAGATGGATTGTGTGTATTTATAATTTATAACTATCACTCATTTGTCGAGGCAATTCATTTCTAGCGATGCATCACGTGCATTCTGTTGTGGAGTAAAATAAGACTCCGTCAATTTCTATTTAAGTGCTTGGCTTTCCTTTTTGGATGTATCTAAATAAGTCTGTTAAATATTGTTGTGGAATAATATAAGACTCCTTCAATCTGTTTCAAAAAACTATAGGTATAATTATTGTTAACTTCACGCATTGAATCTTGAGAAGACCTTTTCGCTGTGCAATTCTTTTCAAATAAGTGTGTCTGTTAATCTTTGTGCATTAACCAAAACTTTAACTTTAATTGCAGTCAGCCCCTGTTCTGTTTTTTGTTTTACTTATTTTTACCCCTTATTATCTGTCATCTGACATGGATAAATGTCTATTTAAATTTTCCAGGGGAATGAGCTTCATAAGCAGGGGAAGTTCGATGATGCCTCTGAGAAATATTTGCTTGTAAGTCAGCAATTTTATCTTTGGTTTTTTTTCCAATCATGGGAAAAATTCTTGCTGTTTATTTTTAGTTTTTTTTTTTTTTTTAATTTATCGCATTTTATTTGTATTTTCTTTTCATATTAATTAAATCATCATTGCCTCTTTCACAATCTTAGGCAAAGAAAAACCTGAAAGCAATTCCATCCTCTAAAGGAAGAACGCTTTTACTGGCATGCTCTCTTAATCTCATGTCCTGTTACTTGAAAACAAAGCAATATGATGAGTGTGTAAAAGAAGGCTCAGAGGTATGAAGACATCATGTTCTCCTTTATTGTCATTGGTACCGTATGATAGTTTTGGTCGTAAATTATATCCTCAAAATATCCCCCATCCCAAGATAATGACTAAACTATTTAATATCAATAGATTAATAGATCTCTGAACAATTAGCATTTGATAGATTGTGATCTTCTATCTTCTTTCTAGCTAAAATTATATTTGTGCTTTCAGGTTTTGTCATTTGATGCAAAGAATGTCAAAGCTCTTTACCGAAGAGGTCAAGCATATAAAGAACTAGGCCAATTAGAAGTGAGTTTTATATGCATATGGGTTTTTATCAATGGTTGCTAAATTGCATTTCTAGTACATTTTCAAATTCTAGAATAATCTGTTTATTTTTTTGCTTTTGCTGACAACCTTTCTGAAATTTATTAGGATGCTGTCTTGGACTTGAGCAAAGCACATGAAGTTTCCCCTGATGATGAAACGGTTGCAGATGTCTTGAGGTATGAATTTATTTGGCTTAAGATTATGGAAACATGGGATAAGTTTTAGTCAGCTGCATTCACTTAGAAAGTTAGTTTATGCACCAACATCAGCCTATTATGACCACCATTGTTAGGATATGATAGGTGCATTGTGTTTAATTGACTGCTTTGAAAAAAAAAAAAAAAAAAGCACTGGGTGTTTAGGTTCACCTTGTATGTTGTTTAGTTATTGAACATTATTCATAAATTGATGAGAAGGCACTATTTTTTTTATTGTGTAATGGTGGTTAGTGATGTCAATTGTTGATGCAGGGATGCTAAGGAAAGATTGGTTAGAGAGGGCAGCCATCAAGCACCTCGAGGTAAGTTTATTGTCCTCTATTTTGCTTTTTCTTATGGCTACTCTCTCTCTCTCTCTCTCTCTCTCTCTCTCTCTCTCTCTCTCTCTCTCTCTCTCTCTCTTATATGTCTTTGATGTTTATTTTTTTGTTTACTCCTTATTTCACAGGAGTGGTAATTGAAGAAATAACTGAAGAAGCTGCAAGCACTTCTGCTATTCTTCAAAGTTCATCTAATGAATACTCAGTGAAACAGCCACAACAAAGTACAGGATTCTCTAAGAGTGAGGGCAGGAAAAATGCTGGGGACGTGACAACCAATTCTGAGTGTCTGCAGGCTCTAAAGGATGATCCAGAAGCACTCAGGTTTGTTTTCATTATCACAAAATTGTCTGTTAGGTGATCTTCATTTGCTTAGTCTGGTAATGTCATATTCTGTCATATATGATTGGATTATGCTAAATATATAAAAATGACTTTTAAATCTCTGAATGATCTGTACATACAAAAACTTGAGGATCGTTTATAAGGAGCTGTAAATCACATTGACATTAGCTATATATAAGGTTTAGGTGCAGAAAAATAATGTTTTTCTCCAAAAGCTTATGGGGTTTCTGCTCTCTTAATTTCTCCTTGTTTTAGCTATTAAATCTTAGCAGCATTAATTTGTAGTCTTCACGTTATAATTATGCACATAAATACAATCCATTTTGATATCTTTTCATGGTGGATAGATGAGATTATGAACTTAAAAAGGTTATTGCTGCTAGAAGCAAAACTTGGAGGATTAAAATGAAACAGCAGTGTACAAAGTGTGACATGTTCCACCCAAGGAACTAAACTCACTTCTCCATTTTTTTTTATTGTTTTCTGTTCTTTTTGCAACTTTTTTGTCTCATTAATGCTAAAAGTTCATGGTCTGTATTACATCAATTTTTTGTGCTTTGTTATTAATTTGTTTTGAGGGTCCAAAAAATTTTCAATTCTCTCATTCCCCCTGTTACTAGCAGATCATTTCAGAATTTCATTTCTAATGCCGATCCTGACACCCTTGCTGCTATGAGTGGCGGTAAAAATGGAGAGGTGTCACCAGACATGATTGAGACTGCTTCAAATATGATCAGCAAGATGTCACCTGAAGAGCTACAAAAAATGGTTCAATTGGCTTCTTCATTTCAGGGGGAAAACCCATATACGGGTCCTTTGAAAAATGGATTTGGACCTGGATCTGTTCCTCCAAATGTGACACCTGTCATGCTTAAAACTGCAAGTGATATGATGAGCAAGATGCCTCCAGAAGAGCTTCAAAAAATGTTTGAAATGGCAGCTTCTTTGAAAGGGAAAGACTCTATTCCTACAGCTACAGCTGCAAACAGTAGCAGACTAAGTTCAGATGCGGAGGTAACACATCCAGAATCTCAGACAGCATCTGTCACCAATGGGAATAATGGTTTTCGTGAAACCAGTCCTAGCCATTTTCCAACGAGTGCCCAGTCAAGTTTTCCAACGTCAACTGCTGATCTGCAAGAACAGATGAGAAACCAAATGAAAGATCCAGCTATGCGGCAGGTATGACAAAATATATTTAACATTTATTGTCTTTGGTGTTATTATTATAATTATTTTGCTAGCATCAGTTTTTACTTTTTAATGCTCAAATGCATATAGGCAATAGTTGATAGAATATTGTCATTCTCAATTGTGAGTATCTTCATAAGTAAAGCTTGCATTACCCCAAGTTTGTGTCTCCGTTAATGTTTTGTTACTTGTGAACTGAGCAGATGTTCGCATCAATGATGAAAAACATGAGCCCAGACATGATGGCAAACATGAGTGAACAATTTGGGTTGAAGCTTTCTCGGGAAGATGCTGCAAAAGCTCAACAAGCTATGTCATCTCTATCACCAGAGGACTTGGATAGAATGGTACATTTATTGCCCTGTTTTGACATTTTTTGCTATCTAGAACTTGATGTGTATAAATGATAAAACATTTATCATCATAATTGTTTCAATATTTATCTCAAATTCTCAGTTTAAAACTGTGATTGTGTCCAAGATTTTCTTCGTCTTTAACTATTAAGTCAGTAGATCCATGGCATTTGTTTGAGGACGTTACTATAATGTTAAGTGTCTTATAATTTGGTTATTTTTTTGGTTGGTAAGTAAACGAGTGGGGAGAAAGGGGCAAAAGATTGGGATCTTTAATTTCTTTTGGCAAAAGTATCTTATGCGTCCTGTGAGGTGAATAGGAGGTAGAATGAAAGAAAGAAAAGCATAGATGGGTGTATCTCCATGAGGAGTTGTATCCAGATGTCCCAACTCCTATATAATTGGATGCTAATTCTGTTTGCATGTTGCTTTAGTGTAGATAAGCTTCTCTAAGTTACCTTGTTTTCTGAGAATCTTCTATTTGTTGAATTGTTGCTGATGGTTTGCTGAAATTCTCTCCCAGTGTTCACATTCTACACTTGAGAACCTTATTTTGCAAAGACTGCCATTGGTGCACATTGTTGTTGTTCACATTCTACACTTATGAACCATATTTTGAAATGACCTGGTCTAAGATGTTTATGGCTTATTTAGTGACCATTCATCATCATCCTCTGTGTTAGGAAGGTCACTGATTTAGCTGATTGTGGTCTATTTGTCTTTGCTGCGAAACAAATAACATTTTCGGTATTCCCCTCACTATATTGTTGCAGATGCGCTGGGTAGACAGGATCCAGAAAGGAGCAGAAGGTGCAAAGAAGGCAAAGAACTGGTTGCTTGGAAAACCTGGTATGATTCTGGCAATATGCATGCTCATCTTAGCAGTAATTCTTCATCGGTTGGGCTTCATTGGTAGTTAGAATGGAAACAAATCTCCATTTTGAATGTAACATACGCCGGGAATTCAACTTCTAATCAAGGTAGTGTTGGAAACTAACATGCCTCTTGGGTGCCAATATGGTAAGAAGAATTTCAAGCAACATGTTCTCTCCATTTTGATGGTGTTCTTGTGTTCAGTGGATGAACTGGTGGTCAGGCTAAGTGGATCTATCAAGTGTAATAAGTAATGATATTTTTAATTACTATGATTGTTGCAGTTTATTTGAAAAATATATTTATTAAAGTAGATAAAATGACATAATTATGCTAAAGTTTTAATTTTAATAATTTTTTTTGTAAAAGTTTGTAAAAATAAGAATATTTTCTTATTTGTTCATGAATGAAAAAATAAAATTATATTTATTTTATTTTTCAATTTACTTAATACCAATTAATCTGTTTAATTATGTTTTTTTTTAATATTATTACAAATTTTTAATTTCTCATGAAATACCATGCTATTTTATGATTTTATTTTAAGATGGATATATTTTTTGAGATAAAATATTGTGGATGCAAGTAAAGAAAAGGATTGCTAGATATTATGATTAGATTTTTTGATGTGTTGAATGTCAATTTTTTAAAAATAATTATATAAATTAATTTAATTAAAATTTGAATTCATTTTTGGGTCCTCCAAAAATGAATAGACTTATAAAGGATAAAATAATTTGTTGGTCATTTATTACGATTACGTCATAGATTTAGTACAAGCAAAAGAAAATTATAAATAGTGCTATAAATTTTTACAAAACTTAAAAATAAAAAGACTATGTTTTTAGGCTTTTTTTCATTTGTTTTATCTCTATGTCTCTTCAACACAAGAAGGAAAAACATTAAAAAAAATTTGACATAAATCAATATTTTATTATTCTTATTTTTGTTAAATGAAAACATTAATAAATGGAAGCAAATAAAAAGTACTAAACAAAAATTTGACTCATAAAAATCAGCGAAGCACATCAACTATTATTGTCACTGACTCAACTATAAAAGAGTATTTAATAATTTCAAGGTTGCGAGACCGGTCAAAATCATTTAGCATTGGCCAATCTACGCCGTCCGTCTTCAATATTTCGCAGTCATCTCCCACGTGGAAGTCCTAAACTTTTTTATCCCTTGCCTCTTGTTTTGGTGTTTTGGCACGCGGGATTTGGACATTTGATTTTGAATATGGACACTCCTTCAAACTCTTAGGCCAGATTTTACTAAATGAGGAATGAAATTGTTATAATCCAGTTGGCATAGATATGAACAAATAAAAATTTTCAAAAAAAAATTACTTAATTTTTTAAATGTAAGGGGTGCTCTTATTAATATTTTACTTGGACAACCAAACGTCCAAACCTTGTTAAGCCTCTTGGCTCCTACGTCTTCCGTTTCCATTCCGAAACGGTTTCTTTTGTTAATTTTCTGGACTAATCCTTCGTTTCGTTAAATAATCTCTTTGATTTCTTAGCTGGATTTACCCCCTTTTATCCCATTTTATCTCTCTTATACCCCAAATTTCCATCACTTTCCTCAGCTTTCTTGATTGATAAGAAAAACCCATTCAAAATGAATCAATAGTTATATTCTCCCATCTTTTCCTCTTTTCAAAATCCCCTTTTCGTTTTATTTAGCTCCTTTTTTTTTTTTTGGTTTTGAGAGAGAAATTGGGGAGAATAAGTTCCCTTTTGGATAAGATGACTCGTCAAGTTTTGATAACATCACCAACTTTAACACGGAAGAAACCGTGTTTGTCACCGGAGGATCCGAAAACGGCCAGGAAAGGGAATAAATTGGGGGAAGTGGTCGGTAGGACGACGGCGGAGTGCGTGGCAGTATGTTGCTGCTGTCCGTGCAGTGTCATGGAGCTGCTTGTTTTGGGCCTTTATAAGGTTCCTACCGCCCTTTGCAAGAAGGCCTGGAAAATGACAAAACCACATTGTATGACGAAGAAGAATCCGGGACTGTTGGGCCAGGCTAACGACCAGCCCACGTTGAAGGAGTTGGAGGCTGAGCTGGATCGGATGGTGGGGAAAGGGATACAAGGTGGGGAAGATCAGGATGATGGGTGCAAGGGAGCCGCTGATTTGGATAAGGAGATGTGGGACCGGTTTTACGGGACTGGATTTTGGAGGAGCCCTTCACAGAGAGACACGTGACATGTCACGTTATTGGTGGAACTAAATCGATATATATGAATCACAATGTGGGACCCTTTTTCGAATGGGAGATTGGGAAAATCTTACTTTCGTGGATATGAAAAAGGGGAAATTCCAGAAGTTTTGTCTCATTTTCGACTTTTGACGATCGAAATATTCGAAGTTGGACAAACTCTTAAAAATCAAAAGGGTTCATGACTTTCCATCCATGCAACGGTGTTGGCCAACCTTTGTTGTCTTCATGTTTGAATTTTTTTAGTGAATCCATTAGCAGATCCATGGACAACTCAACTTTCTAGAGAGGGCCCTCAATTTTCTTTTTCCTGGTCATTATTTTATTAAATAAATAAAAAAATATAAATTGTCAAACTATCAGACAAATAGTATTTTCATTTATTAAATACTAAAATTCATTGCAATTATAAAGCTAAATATTTAAAGAAAAACTTGCAAATGTGTCATAATTAAATTCATAAGAATATTAAAAAATATATTTTCGATTGATTTATCATTGGCATGCTTAACAGGTGTAATCAAATAAAAATGATATTTTTATTATATACATATGAATAACACATAAGAATTTATTTTTAAAAAATAATAAAAATAGATTATATTAAACATTGTAAATGAAAGAATAAAGAAGTAATTACTTCATAAGTGATTCGCATTTGATTAATTAGTTGGTTGATTATAACTTATCAAGATGTTGATCAATAATTAGTTCAAAAGAATAAAAATATAATTGAATTAATACATAATCAAAGATTTTAAATATTGAGGCTTAAGTCCGGATATTTAATGAGTAATTAACTTGATTTTTTTCCAGCAACTTAACTTGTTTACTCTACAATTAATAATGTTTTATTTTTATTATTTATTTAAAAATGTAATTTATTATTACTTTTTTATAAATTTACTTTCTGTGTAATTTTCCATTGTGTACTTAAAGCTAGTCACCGCTGTATCACAGATTGACGGAAGAATGAATCGTCAAATATATTACAGTGTAATTGCCACGTGTCGAAACCACAGACGCCACAGACCCAGCCATAAGTTCTTTGTTTTTCATTTTCACTTTGCCTAAGTCTTTCCCCACTCTTAAGCAATAATAAAAAGTCATCACTGTCATCCTGTCTTCCCAGAAACTTCACCAAACAAATAACCCCAAATTCAAAGTCTTCCCTTTTGCCGAATCTACAACAAATTCTAGGGTTTTTTAAACACTCCCTGTTTTGTTAATTGATCTAGTGGGTTGATAATCAGCTGGTGTGCTTAGTTAAATTCTCAAATGGAGGTAAAGTAAATTATGGGCGTTTCATTGATTTTGTTTTCTGGGTGTCTTTGGGGTGATTGATAAGAAAATGGAATTAAACTTTGTGAATTTTATGAAAAAAATAGTGGATTTTATAGATTTCATTATACCTATAGTAAAAAACTTTTAAAAGGTTTTTAGGGCTTAATTTTGTTGATCATTTGTTATAAGGCATCTGATTTTTGTGCAATTGATCAGTGTGGTGTCTGTGTCTTCAGTGTTGATTACATATGGACTATTACTATTATGAGTTAGTCTTTATTAAGGTGTTGAATTTCTTTACTGGTCACTGTTGGTTTAATTTTGTAGCTAAGAGTTATTTTAGTTTCTTTTTCTTTTTTTTTTAATTTGGAGTTGAGATTGAAAACAGATGTTCTGGTGTTTGGCCTTGTAGGGGATGGAGGATACCAAGTCTGAGACGCATTTAACCTCGGCTGCAGCTTTTGTGGAAGGGGGAATCCAGGATGCTTCTGATGATGCCTGCAGTATATGCCTTGAAGCATTCTGTGAAAGTGATCCATCAACGGTATGTATTTCTGAGAATTTTGATTCTTATTTTTTGGATATGTGAATGTACATTTCTTTGATCCTTGTTTGTTGCGTCACTTACAGGTGACCAGCTGCAAGCACGAGTTTCATCTCCATTGCATTCTTGAATGGTATTAGTATTATTGGCATCCATTTTATAAAGTTCATTGTAGTTCTATTTAGTTCATGTTATATCTGCATATGTGAATGGTGATGGCTGGATGGTACAGTTTTGGGCTTGAATGTGGCTATCTGCTTAGTAGGAAAATGTTTACCAATGGGGATTAACTTAGCTGACGCTCTTGCCTTATGGTTTAGTATCTTGGATTCTATATTGCTTTATGTTATGCATTGCAAGTTCCTTTTACTGTTCTAAAAGTAGGTAGCTTTGTAAATTATAACAGAATAGATAATCTAATTATGATGCTTAGGTAGAATGAAGTTGAATTCTAGTTGCCTAGGTCAAGTGTGCAGGCAGATCAGAAGCAGGGTGTAACTTTAAAGTAGGAAAATTGGGGTAAGAAAGTTGTATGTGTTGTCCTATTATTGGTCATTCTTAGGAATAATTAATTCATAAATGTCATTTATTTCTTTTATGTTCCAGACATGCTTTAACTGGAAAATACTTATCTTTTTTTTTTCCCTTTTTCCTTTTCTTTTGATAAGCGAAATGAATGGAAACCCTGATGGCCACAAGGGGATGCCAATGCATGTCGAAAACCAGTTTGTAAAAAGATAGCAGATAGAAGAAACCAATAGCATCATGTACTTTCATGATTCATGTTTGTCAAACCAAAAAAAAAAAAAAAAAAGAACTATTCGAGCATGGAAGCTCATATTCAAAAATGGGAAAAAAATGGAAGCAAGAGCTTTATATGGTTAACTTTTCACCCTCGAAAGCCCTTCTATTTCTTTCCCTCAGAAAAGCCAAAAAGTGGAGGAAGGGATCAAATCTATCAATTTTCTTCTATCTTTTGAAGCATATACACTTTCTCAAGCCCACTACTCCTCTTGTCCTTTCTCAATTGAACCTGCTACAACTGAGTGATGTCCAGAATAGCATAAGTTAAAGACCAAAGCTGTCTTGCTCAAGACAACCAAGCAGAAGATGAAGCACCAACTTTTTGCTGCCTTGCACAGGAAAGGGAATAATATTCCCCTCTTTTGAATGTTATGTATGATTAAGACTCTTACCCAAGATGTTCTCATGCAAATAAGATAACTTAGTATGGAGCATTAGCTTCCATATATTGCTTTTGATGGAATGTTTTCCATATTGCTTTCAATAATTCCACGCTATCTACTTAAATAAGGAGTGATAAAGGGTGTTATAGGAGTGAACTGGTTTCTTTTTATATTTTCTTTACTGAAAATCTTCCTTCTTGCTTTCTTCACTTAATAGGGAGGCAATGTTCTCAAGTATTTCCTCTATTTCCCCCCTTGTCCAGAAAGATTTCACTCAGAATACCCTCCTTTACTAAGCCTCAGTATTGGACATTCCACTTTTCTAGAATTCAACACCATATCCTAAACCAAGTTGAAAATTTGGTGAAATCCTCGAATGTCCTTTTCTTTGACTACCTTGCAAACCAATCCTAGGTAGGAATAGCTTTGGAATTATTTGAAAATGAGGGACTTATTGTGAAATATCTAAATTCCACTATAGGGAATGAGGGACTTGTTTTGTCTTCTTTAATACTTAAGAAAACTATGGAATATTGGGATGTAAGAGGGCATTAGGGAGGATTTGTTTTGGATGTTATGAACAAGTGAAATCTCCAGTTTAAAGTGCCAGCTTTTCTTCTATCATATTGTCATTTAATCTCAGAACTAGTACCGAATAGTGATCTATAATTCTAACATAGATTTTAAAAAAGGAAGTTTCACGTTTGATTGAAGTCTGGCTTCCATTAGATTGGATGCTTTAGAAGAATTTGTCGAAGAATATCATCTACAACTTCAATTATTCTAGATTGTGGATGATAAAGTAATTACATGCTACAAGAACTGTGTGACCCTCTTGAGCTTCGATCATTCCACTTGATAAAAGAATCTGGAGTGAATTTTTGGGTTGTATGTTTTATTTAAGTTCATATCATTATATGAGATATGAATTGAGTTCATTCTGCTTATCAAAAAGGGAGAGAAACAGAAAAAAGTATTATCTTAATTCTTCATTTTACTATTTTAATCTTGCAGGTGTCAGAGGAGTTCTCAATGTCCCATGTGTTGGCAGCCAATTAGCCTGAAAGATCCAACCAGGTTGGTATTTCATCTTTTTTTTTTTATTTATTTACCTGTTCCCGTTTCTTCTTGCTAATTTATATTACATGCTTATAATTTTCTCTTGCTTGACAGCCAGGAGCTGCTTGAGGGTGTTGAACGTGAAAGGAGTTTTAGGTTCAATCTCTCTAGAAATGCAACCATATTTCATCATCCAACTCTGGGGGATTTTGAACTACAACATGTTTGTGTTTCTCTTATGCTAGTTAGATGTCCAGCATCCTCATTTTATCATCATTAAATTGAATCTAAGCCCAATTCCTAAAGAAAGAGCCATACTCATAGGGGTTGTTTCAATGCAGCTGCCAGTGGGGGCAAATGATGCTGAGCTTGAGGAGCGCATAATCCAGCACTTGGCTGCTGCTGCTGCAATGGGACGAGCACACCACATTGCAAGAAGGGAAGGTCTGAGGAATAGGTCATCAGCTCAAGGTCGTCCACAGCTCTTGGTATTTTCAACTCATCCTAATGCACCCTCTACTGGTCCTGTATTGTCATTATCTCCAACTCAGAGAGAAGGTGAACCAGCCCTTGCAATCACTGTTGGAACTCCATCCTCTCCTGCAAGAACAGTGGGGGAAGAATCTTTGGCATCAATTACTCCTGTACCTTCTGTCCAAGCTGATCAGCTGTCTTCCTCAGCATCTGGCTCCAATGTTCTTTTGGTCAATGATCAAGGGAATTCCTTGAACGCTAGGTACTTGCTATTCTCTAACTTGATTCTCCTTATGTTTCTTTTATTAGGTAGTTCTCTCAGGTAAACTTCTTTAGAACACATTTTCAGCCTTGCTTTATGTCCATCACAATAGTGTCTTCTATTGCTATCTTTCAGGAGGTCTCCTAATCAGTCTTCTCCCAATAGTCAAGATAGAGCAGGACCTTCAGAATTCCAGTCATTTTCAGAATCATTAAAATCTCGGTTTAATGCTGTTTCAATGAGGTATCTGTTGTATGGAGGGAGAGATTTGAGATTTTAACTAGGGTGATATGTTGATATTTCTTTGACATGATTTGTTATAAATTTGCTCTCTTATTTTGACTTATGGATCTCTTTAGATACAAAGAGTCAATTTCAAAGAGTACAAGGGGTTGGAAGGAGAGATTTTTCTCTCGCAATACTTCCATGGCAGATCTTGGTTCTGAAGTTAGGAGAGAGGTTAATGCTGGCATTGCAACAGTCTCTCGCATGATGGAGCGTCTTGAAACCAGAGATAATAGAACCAGCACTGCTACTGTATCAAGCAGCTTGGAAGATAGGTCTAATCCTGAATCAAATAACCACCAGATATCAGATGCCGGTGGAGAAACTCCTTTGACTGATTCCAGTGCACAAGCTTCATGTGCTGCAAGTTCGGCATCCTAGTAAGTATTGTTTAAGCAACTGCATCAACTGAAAGTGTTTTAGCTTCAAAGGTAAGCTGAGGTGTTGAATTTTGCTTGATTTTAATAGCTGCATATAGTCAAAGTTAAATTAGTTAAACTTCTGAATATATAATTATTGCATTTCTTTTCACCATATTATGGTGCTTAATGATATAAAAATGCTGATGTATAACTTTGGATGTACTGGACATGAACATTGCAGTGGCATGCTAGTAAAAGTATCCCAACATTCTAAGACTTTGATTTATCACCAATTTATTGCTGCTCTGTTCATATCTTAGTTCTATTTCCGTGACATTACCTTGATGTTGTATCTTCAATTCGAAATGAACATGGCTTCTCTGATACCGGGCCAAATGTTCTTGTATTTTTCAGATATGTTTTGATGGATGTTTTGCTCTGGTTTTCAAACCATTCTATGTGTCCTCCTACATCTGAAGGGAGCAGTTGGTGATTGGGAACTGATTCAGAGTAAAAGACACTGGAAATAAAACAAAAAAAAGTTCTTATATTGTAACTCGGGATGACCAGATTATGTAAATCAGTTTATATTTTGAACTTTATATATGAATGTATAATTTTAAGCCCTGTATGCTAGGCGCTCAAGTGTTGAAGATGTGACAAATTCTAGTGTAAGTCTGTTAAATGTTATTCAGATTTTCAACACAATTCGTGCTCTTGAACTTGCGCGTATATGAACATCGGTGCCGATTAGTGTGTTAGCGAATTTTTAATAAAAGAAATATTTCACCAACCGGAAAAAATAATGTACAATTTTTTTTTTGTTATTTAGATTAGAAAATACTTTTTCACGAATTCATATAAATAAATTTGTTTGGATTGATAAAAAAAAAAATGAATCGAGTGAATTCATAATCCTTTGCTGCTAAATAAATGAAAATTCAACTATTTAGTTAAAAATTAGAAAATTTTATTTTCTATTGGAAGCGATGAGCAAATGGTGACCCGCCCACAATGTTGAAATGGCATACAGATTGCCAATTCTCTCCAAATTTTAGTTTTTCTTCTAATGAAAATGCAAGTGGAATGGTCAGATACCAAACAATATACTGCTCCTCAGATGATGTAAAGCCTCTTACTTCTGTATCGACCGTAAAGATTTTGTAATATGGAACACTTGCACCACTTGAGCAGGTTGAGCCTGAATTTCCAACCAAATTTACTTAATAGAACAATTCCTTGAGATTGTTCAACTGTTGTAAAAGATTGAAAGTTCTTTAAGTTAACGCTCCTGACCAAGAAAAATTCTTTGAACGTTTACGAATAGCCTTGTCAAAAAGGATAGAAGCAAATTTTCTATCATCAACAACCATTACAGAAAGTGAAGCAACTTATTGGTACAAGTACTGTAAACAACTGATTTCATCAATTTGCTTCTAAAAGGAGAGTGAAAATCCTTCAAACTCAAATGCAAAGTTTCTAACAAAATGCCAAAGCATCGAACCAAACATTACATTTTCAACATGTCGCCATTATTAAGCAAATGGAAACCAAGACTTGGTGCTGCTTTCAACATCATGCTGAGTTCAAGACCGCCTCTGACACTTGCTTTCCCACCACTCCATGAATTTGACTTGTGCAGCCATTGTGTCCAACCTGTAGAGTTGATACCAGTGGCTTGCAATCTCTTGTCCAAATGTCCAACCAAAGACAGCTCCTGCTACGAAAGACAGTCCAGCACCTGACAGAAAAAAATAGGGGTGAGAAACTTAAAATAACTTCCCTTTGTCTCATAACATCAGTCAAACCAAGTTCTAACTCTGACTTGCAAAAATAGCAAACTAGAAGTTCTTGTGAATGAACAAAAGTTCTTTTTCTTTCATGTCTTTTCGTGTTCTTGAACACAGAATACCAAGCTAAATTGTATTTTCTCCTTCAATATTTCGTTTTTTCTCCTACTGATCTACTTTAATTCGATTAGTAATTCTCTTTAGACAAAACAGAAAGAAAGAAGTTAGCATGAAAGAAAAAGAAAACCACAAGCCAGGGAACAAGCTGGACCATCCTAGCACTAATAGTGCTTCCAAAACAGCAAAGAAAGATACCAGTTAGACCTAGAGAGGCCATCAACAGACAAAGAACTTCTAAGAAACTAAAGATCATCAGTTTAGGAGGAGGAATATAGAAAACAATTGGGATTCAGAGTAGTGGACGGTTTGTGCACTTACCATTGCCTCATAACTTCTTTGACTACCGATTTGAAATCATATATGAATTCCTTATAGTTTTATATATTCATATCGGCTTAATAATGCAATCCACAAAAGGTTTTAGTTTTATATATACATATTTGCTTAATAATGCAATAGGCAAAAGGTGCTTGAATTCTTTATAGTTTTACATATTCATATTGGCTTAATAATGCAATCCACAAAAGGAGCTTCCACCCGTACGCTCCCCTAATTATTAAAGAAACTGGAAATTTGATATTCAGAGCAAACTAGATTTTGAATTTTCATCCAACTACTTTATAGCATAAAAAATATGACCAAAGAGAATAAGCAGTAAATTACCATGCAAACTCCTTGAGTATTTCCAGGCAAAACCAGCAGTTGAGACTGCTCCAATAGCACCTCCTGCTAAGGCAATCTTTGTTGCTTCCCTAGCAATCTTCAACTGAGAAAGGAAACAAATGAAATCAAGCAATTTGAGGCAAAAGTATGCTGCACTATTGCTCCTACTGCAATGAAAAGACAATAACTTTATCTGCATATAGCTACCTTATGGAGATGATATTCAATATTTTTACTATAACTTACTCAATAAACTTTAAATCAATTAACAAAAATCCCACTTTCACTTCAAGTTTCAACATTTTAAAAGACTTAAGGTAAAATCACATAGAAGGACAGCGCTGAGATGGAAGTATGTTCATGCATATTAACACGATGAAATTTGCAATTCTAACCTATAAACTCCCTCGATGGTAGAAATATCTAACAACAACAACAGTCAAAACAAAAGCTTGTACATGAAGAGGAAAATAAACTATTTTGATACTGAAAACCAGGAAGAATAAAAGAAATACGAAAAGGGGACCAGGAAAAAATGATTAAAATAGCTATAAAAAACTAAACTTGATCCACCGACAGCAAAACTCAGATACAGGAACTGTTTTGAGAGCAAAAATCAGTAGGAAAACAAGAAAAACGAAAAGGGTATCATTAAAAAGGATTAAATTTGCTAAAATTTGATGTAAATCAAAGAAACCAAACACGAAAAAGCATCCAAAAATGAAAACCAAAAAGTGTAAAAGAAAGAAATGATTACGGTGGGGCCATGAACCGGATCAGAAGCGATGAAGTCGCCAACATCGGATTCAGACCAGGGAGGAAGAGACTCTTCACGGTTAATGAATCTTGAATAGATATCAGTGAATGGAAATCGCTCTGCCCAGAATTCTTTGTATCCTTCCCAGTATTTCTTCAAGAATGACTCCGATGATGACTCTCCCATTTCCTTTTCGTCTCTTCTTCTTCTTTTTTTGTTTCCTTTTTTTTTTTTATCTTATAAATCGAATTTCTTGATCTCTCGCTTTCTCGCAGTCAGATTCCCTGGTCTTCTTCCCTTTAGATGAGTGTGCCGTTTGGATCATGTACAATGATGGCTTAGGTGTTTTGGTGCACTCACCAATCAGATTCTCACATGTAAAATATATATTTCAATTATAACTGTGTTAATTAATTAGAGAAAACCATTAATATTTTAATATTCCATATTGTCAATTATAATTTCATCTTATCATTTTTTATATCATAATTATTAAATATTTAATGTATTCATAGTCATAGATGGCTTAATTTAAGATAAAACTTTTAGGTTTGCATTCTACTTAAGATTTAACTTTTTGTTTGAATTAAATTGAAATCAAACATTTTCGAACTATAACAAATAGAATTTTTTTGTGACAATATCGTGTATGTATATAACACGTGTCTTTAAAATGCGTTTGTATGAATAACTTACTATTTTTTACATGATGTGTAAGAGTCAGGTGTTATTTCTTAATTATGTGGCACGACACATTTAAATATACATTTTTTAAAAATAATTATATGATAAATTAACATAATTAAGGTTAGTTTAGGGTAATTAATCATATTAATTGAGTTTATGGGAAAAAAAAAGAAAAAAAAATTAAAATTTAAAAAATTCATCTTCTATGAAAAATCTCTCTTGTCAAAATCCTTTTTTTTTTTTTTTTTCAGATGAGCTAAATGTCTTATCTTTTCTCACCATTTTCTCTCTTCCATCAAAACTCAATTTTCTCTCTTTATTAAAAACCTTTTTATCTCTCTTCCATTAAAGAATTTGTAAAATTGTCTAGACTTTCATACACATCAGTCTTTTTTCTTGCCTAAAAACTAGCCTAATTTCAAATAAACCATTGTTTTTCTTTTTTTTTCAACTTTTTTAGCTATAATGCAATGCTTTACCTAGAGTTTGTCTCACAATATCTGATCAGAACAACTTGAGTTTGAGTTTTAAAGAAAGGTGTTGAGGTGAGTTTCAGGAAACTAGATATTATATATGGGTTTTTGGGATTTTACTTAGTTGATTATTTTGAATATGATTGAAATAAAAGAAAATTTTTAAAGAGTATACTACATATTTGATTATTTCAGAAGAAATTATTTGATATATTGATAATAAAGTTTTTTTTAATTTCACAAGTAAAATTAAGATGATGACACATGTTTTATTTTTTAAAATTAATTTTTTTAAATATATAAAAGACATGTGTTTCTATCTTAATCTCATTTATGGAGTTAAAAAAATTTTATCGTCAGTGATAATTTTTTTTTTCTTAAGAGAAATTATTTGATATACTGATAGTGAAATTTTTTAATTTCACAAACGAAATTAAGATGATAACATGCATTTTATTTCTTTTTAAAATTAATTTTTTTAAATATATAAAAGACTTGTGTTTCCATTTTAATCCTATTTGTGGAATTAAAAAACTTAACTGTCATTATATTTGATAATTTCTTTTTCTCTAATCATTTGTCACTGTAACCACTTAGTTGACAGTGCATGTCTAGTACGTACAAAGTTTCGTCACAAAAAGTCCTTATTTCTTACAACCTGAAAACATTTGGTTTTAGTTTAACTCAAATAGAAGGTTTACTCTTTATTTAAGCATCACTCTAAGAGTTTAGTCCTAAATTGAGTATTTAACCATCAAATTTTATATTTTATTTGGAAGATAAATTTAAGTATTAAAAAGAAAAAAATTCTTCTAACCATTAAAAAGTAAAAAATTGAATGAAGATTCTAAATGTACATGTGATTTATTGTAAAATATTAAAATTTTAATTTTAATAATCAAATTTTAATTTTATATGTAATATTTTATTGTTTTTACGTAATATAATGCATATCAAATATAAATAAACTTCTAGAAATCATTTATCTATAAATAAAAGTGTGAATTCCAAAAATATTAAAAGTGATCAATTAAAATATCATTTAAAATTTATTGAATTAAAAATTTATATCTCTACAAAATTTATTTATTATTAAAATTAATTTTTTAAGTGATAGTCATAGTAGAATTAATTAATACATTAATTAATTAATATGGCTAAAATATTTTTGCTAGACTTATATTTAAACACAATTAATTGTAAATAAAAATAGAATTATTATTACCTTGGATAATAATGTCAAATAATTTGGCAAAAAGTCATTATTAGCTTAGATAATAATGCGAAAAATCCATGGCTTGCATGCTTGCACAAACACTTTTACTTTTTACTCTTTTTTTTTCATTAATGTTAACTAACTTACATTATACATCAAACAACAAAACAAAACACTTGGAACCTAATTTTAGAAATGAAATAATAACACAAGATGAGTCAAGAGTTGCATGTGTTTTAAATTTCAATGGTGAATAACACTAATTTTCTTTTCTTCAAGTTAAATACCAAAAAAAAATTACAATTTAAAAAACTTAAGACCAAAGTAAATTCAATGTTCTAAATTAAAGCAAAATGAATATTAATTGTCTTAATTCATATTCTCGCACTTTGATTGCATACTTTAGCCTTCTTATTTTTAAAGCTACTAAAGTTTTTTAAGGTGAGATAATTATATGATGTTTGTTTATTTAATTGTTATAAAAATAGTAAATTATTAAAAATAATAGAATAGTTATACATTTCTTGTCTAAAAATAGTTTGTTACTATAATTAATATTAATGAATTACAAGAACTTGCAACCAGCTAGTAATGATTTTCTTATGGGCCAAATTATGTAATTAGTCCCTATACGTATACGAAATTTGAACTTTAATTCCTATATAATATTCTAAAGAAATCAGATCCTCATAATAGTTTAATTTAATAATGTTGGTCTAATTGATAACAATATTAGTTGATATCCGTTAAGTTAGCTATCGTTGACGTTGACCATACTGACATGGTGTTGACTTTAATGATGTGGCATTGACTTCAATGATGTGGCATAACTTGCTGATATGGCAATTGGAATTGATGAAATCAGTGTTAAATGATACAAATTATCCTTATACTCATACGAAATTTGAAATTTAATCATTCTACTTGCACGAAATTTAAAATTTAGTTCCTGTAGTCGCATAAAAATTAAAATTTAGTCCCTCTAATAAAAAAATATTTTGAATTTTTAGAAATTTTTTAGTTTTTTAAAATATTAAAATTTAAAAATTGCTACAATATTCTCTCATAGTATTCTATCACAATATTAAAAATTTGTTATAATATTTAGTCACAATATTCATACATTATCACTAAATCTATTATAATTTTTGTCACCCATGTGAAATACTATTACTAATTCTATCACTGTTTCTTATTGCATTTTAATAAAAAAATATAAATCTATTATTAATTTTGTCATATTTTTCTGTCACAATTGTAGTAAATTGTGGCCATATGAAGAAAAATTTAAACTACTGTATTAAAAATCTATTACAAATTTATCAATATATGATACAAATCTACCACTATCTAATTTTAATAAAACTATTATTTTTAGATGTTCATGAAGTTGATCTAGAAATCAATGCCATGTTTGATGCTACTAAAAAAAGGAAGAATATTGAGAAAAGTCTTGAAAAAATCACATTGTTTGTTAAGAAAGTAATGGCTAAGCTTGAGATGCTACCGAAGACGATGCATGTCTCAATAGAATGGGCTAACTTGCCATCAACAAACTCTGAAAACTACCTTTTCTTACCAACGTTTTGTTTAAGAAAAATTTTCAACAACGATTCTTGGATCGTAGGGTTTTAATGATCTTGAAAAATTGGCTTGAACCTCTTTATGATGGAAGCTTACCAAATATAAATATTTGTAGCACGATTTTGAACATCTTGATAGATTTTCCATTGGATTTAGAGCAACAAGATCAATAAGAATGGTTTAAGAAAAGTTTGACTCAAACCCCAAGAGGGTAATTTGAGTCAAAGGGGGTTTATCTAAATTGAAAACCTAAAAAAGAGGCTTAGATAAGAAGGATACAGCATCAAATTTAAAAATTCACTAGCATGGAAGCTAGCATGTTCTGAGGAGCTCTAAGTTGTTAAGTATATCAGATGGTTGAGTTTTTCAAAAAAGACTTCAAGATATGTTATCATGATTGTTTGATTATTTATCTTGGGCATTGTCTCCCCATACCCGTCATTGGAATTCTTTTCTTTTTCCACTGGCCAAAGTTTGCTATCATTTTTGTTAATAAAAGATATTCCACTTCATTATTTATGTTTCTTTTTTTGTTGATTATTTTCTAGCCATTCCCACTCTTTTCTCTTTACTACCTTACAATGGAAGAAATGTGTGATTGTATTCTTGTTTTTTGAAATTGAAATAATGATTGATAAATGAATAATAGCATGAAAGATTTCTACATCACCTTGGAAAAGTTAAGAGTGATAAAGGCAAATATAAAATATTCAGTTCCTGATAAGGACATTGAATTTAGAAAAAAATTTCTTAAAATAGAAAAATGAAAATTAAATGAGAAGAATGATTAAGAATTACATTGATTTGGTCTTAGTACTTGAAGATTGAAGGGTTTTAGGCCTAAAAAAAGAGCTTAAAAACTCGAGTACTTCAATTAATCAACATTTGCATAGCATGCATTGCATCTCTAAATGTCTAGTGCATAGCATATACTGCATTTGAGAAGGTCTAATGCGTGGATTTAGGAAGTAGGGATATTCTAAGATCCTACACGAAGAAGACATATGTAAAGACTTTTCGATGAAAGAGTTTCTAGTTCTCGTTTGAGAAAAAATTTATGAGGTAAGATTTTAATCCTTGAAAGAGGATATTTTTCAGTATTATAAATGATTTGTAAGACCTTTTGACATAATCTCCTAAAATTTCTTCAGACACAATCTATGACTCTTCTGGACATGATTGTCAAGGAGCCTTTTATTTTTCAAAGTTATTGTGTCTCTATTTAGAGGAGCTTTTATTTACAAAAGTCATTGAGCTTCTGCTTAAAAAAGCCTTTTATTTTCAAAAGTTATTGAGCCTATACTTGAAGAGCATTTTATTTTCTAAAGTTATTGTGTCTCTGTTTAGAGGAGTCTTTTATTTTTCAAAATTTGTTGTGTCTCTATTTATAGGAGCCTTTTATTTTT